AAAAAAAGAAAGAGAACAAAGAAGATAAGCTTGGGGCGGGGAGAGGTGGACACTAAATAAATAAATAAATAAATAAGTTTGGACTCATTAATTCCTTGGTTCCTTCAAACTTTGAATATTTTATTATGCCTTTGATTCCTTCTTCTCACTTTTATGTTTCACCTTTTCCATTCATTTCTTTTTCTCCTCTTTCTCCTTTGTTTTTCCTTTTTGTGTTTCTGCTTACTTTCTAAACTCTGTGTCTGCAGTTCCTTTAGCCCTAACAGACTACAAGTCCTATTTCTCTTCATCTTTCTCTTTTTAACTTTGTTATCTTTTCACTACTTATAAGTTTCTTAATTTTCCTGGGTCTCAGCTTTTCCATCTGGAAAGTGGAGATAACAAGTACTAGATTGTTGTATCAGATGAATTAAGTAATGCTCATAGCTTAACACAAAGGCCAAGATGTCATTAACTTTACCCCATTTGATCTTCTGCCAGCCTGCTGTGAAATATAAAACACTATAGAAATGTTAGTTGTTTTTGTTTTTATTAAAGTATCACGTTGAAATAGAAAGATGGAAAAAAAAAAAAAAAAAGAAATAGAAAGATGGTTTTGAGCTGGAAAAGTTCCAGACAAATCTTTGAATTTTTATGAGCCTCATTTTCCTTTTCTGGAAAATGAGAATAACATAGCCTTTTCCTCCTCAAGAAATTAAGAGTCCATATACTGAAAGCATCATTCTACAAGTATTAATACATATGTAATCATGGTAGAGGGTGTCCTGAAGTCACACTGGAAACATTTGTGAAGGTTCAAAGGAATAAAATTTTAAAAGATATCTGACCAATGGTAAGCGCTCAATAAATGTTACCTGTTATTTCTTTTACCTTTCTCGCTTCTTTTCTCCTGCTCTTCAAAACAGTGAGTAGATGAACCCCACCTAGGCTATCTCTGCTGCTAAACTATTATTAGTGTTTGCTTCCTCCCCGCCCCTTATTCCCCCATCCCGTTTTTTTCCTCCTCTTCACACTTTCCATTACAGCTTTTCTCTTGTCTCAGGCATCCAGTGCAGTCCTGATCTCCAGCTCTCCAGCGGCTAAGAGCAGACACAGCGTCAGCCGGGACCAGGGAAGCGCCGGAGACTTCCTCATTTAGTGGCTAGCGCTGTTCTACTAATAAAGTTTTATTGAAACAAAGTAGAAAAAAAGAGGCCCGTCATTCTTCCCTCAGCGACCAATCGGAGAGTAGAATGCCTGCGTCCCGCACGGGAGCTTCAGCGGTCAGAAAGCGGGGGCGGGGCATGTCCTGCCGAAACTTGCGTCGTTAGAGCGGAAGTACGGCCGGAAGCCCGCCATAGAGTTTAGTGGCTAGAGCGACTCTGCGGGGAGGTGGCAGGAAAGGCTTGGAACAGCTGCCGGAGGTGACTGAGCGGCGGCCCCGCCCGGTGCGCTGGAGGTCGAAGCTTCCAGGTAGCAGCCCTCAGAGTCTGACCCAGGGTACGACGGAGCAGTCGGCAGGAGCCCGCGGTCTCTGGGCGGTGTCTTTAAGGGAGGGGGTGGAGCCACGTGTAAGCTTCGCTGGGGGTGAGGTCACGTGGTTAAGGGCACGTGCGGGACAGGAGTGGAGAGCCGAGGCAGCGTCGTCGTTAGGGTGGACACCATGTGACACCCCTTTCTCCGTTGCAGCCTGTGTCTTGGGGTTCAGTGGGGTGCACGTGGTGGGGCTTGGGGTTAGGCCGAGGGAACTGACTTTAGGATTCCTAGATCAGAATTGTAGACCGCTGCATATCTGATTACTCATGCGGAACTGACTTAGTGCCTTTACAATCCAGTCCCTTGGCCCTGTGCTTCCCATCCTACGCAGCGATCAGGGACCTCTAGCTTCACGTCCTCTTTCCTTACAGCTCTGGACATCCTGAGCCCAGGTCCCCCCAGCTCAGTGCAGTCATGAGTGCGGAAGTGAAGGTGACAGGGCAGAACCAGGAGCAGTTTCTGCTCCTAGCCAAGTCGGCCAAGGGGGCAGCGCTGGCCACACTCATCCATCAGGTGCTGGAGGCCCCTGGTGTCTACGTGTTTGGAGAACTGCTGGACATGCCCAATGTTAGAGAGGTGGGTTGCCGGCCTGAATAGCACACAGAGAAGCGTGGGCAAAGATTTGAATTAGAGAATGGGTGGGCAGGGCTCATTTTGTAATCCCATAACCATTCAGCTGAACAAGTAAACAGTGATGATTAAATGCCAACTTGCAAAGGTAACCAGTAAATAAGCAAACCAGTTTCCCTTTGGAGATGAGGGATCTGTAAACCCCAGTATTTTTCATTTTAAGCAAAAGAGCGTGTTATTCAGAATGGGAGACCTGATTTCCAGCTGGTCTTCACCAGTGTAATAGATCTTGCCATGTCACCTTGATCAGGTCACATTTGTTTTAGGTCCTCAGCTTTCTCTTTTATAAATAGAGACAATACTGCCCCTCACTGTTATTGTGGAAATAAAGTGAGATTATGGGAAAGTGCAAAGTCTGTACAAGTGGAGAGTGAACACGTTAAATTAGCATGCCCTGTTCTTCCCTGTGTGCAGCATATGCTAATCTATTCAAGGTAGCTAAGGGAGAATATGTCTTTTTCCCAAAGACACATGGCAAACTGCTAGGAACACAGCAGAGAGAACCTTTCACACAAAAGTGGCAGTTAAGAATTTACACTGACATGCTATGACGGTGGTATGTGGGTAAAGTGAGCTAAGTTATTTAGGGCCTGTGGTTTAACCTTTTGAATCACTCTGTGGTATGGAGAAAACTGGCTGACTTCCCTGCTGTGGAACTAAACAGTATCAATGAAGGTGATGAAAAAGAAGCCCTTGGCTGGCTGCAGTGGCTCATGCCTGTAATCCCAGCACTTTGGGAGACCAAGGTGGGTGGATGACCTGAGGTCAGGAGTTGAAGACCATCCTGGCCAAGACGGTGAAACCATGCCTCTACTAAAAACACGAAAATTAGCCGGGCACAGTGGCAGGCACCTGTAATCCCAGCTATTTGGGAGGCTGAGGGAGGAGAATTGTTTGAACCCAGGGGGTGGAGGTTATGGTGAGCCTACATCGTGCCACTGCACTCCAGCCTGGGCAACAGAATGAGACTCTGTCTCAAAAACAAACAACAGAAAAAAGCACATGTATCCCAGAACTTAAAGTATAATAAAAACAAACAGAAATCAGCTGGGCGTGGTGGTGCGCAACTATATTCTCAGCTACTTGGGAGGCTGAGATAGGAGAATCACTTGAACCCGGGAGGTGGAGGTTGCGGTGAGCAGATACGGCGCCACTGCACTCCAGCCTGGTAGACATAGCAAGACTCGATCTCAAAAAAAAAAAAAAGGAAAAGTAGCACTTATTGAGTGGCTATTTACTACCTTTCTTATGGTCTGGGAATACAAGAAAAGTACAAGGCATGGAGGTAACACTTCTGAAGCTTACATTCCAGTTGAAGAGATAAGATGAATGAATATAAACCTAAATTACTAATTTAGCAAGTATTTCTTTTTCTTCTTTTTCTTTTTTTTCTGAGACTGAGTCTTGCTCTGTTGCACAGGCTGGAGTGCAATGGCGTGATCTCGGCTCACTGCAGCCTCTGCCTTCCAGGTTCAAGCATTCTCTGCCTCAGCCTCCTGAATAGCTGGGATTATAGGCACCCGCCACCATGCCCAGCTAATTTTTGTATTTTTAGTAGAGACAGGGTTTCACCGTGTTGGCCAGCCTGGTCCCGAACTCCTGACTTCATGATCCACCCGCCTTGGCCTCCCAAAGTGCTGGGATTACAGGTGTGAGCCACTGCGCCCCAGCCACAAGTATTTCTTCAGAGCCAATTACTGCATAGCTCTGTGTGATACCAGACACTGGGTCTATAATCTTGAAAGATATTCTTAGGTAGCAACCTTCTGTAGGGATTGATTGATTAAGTGCCAGAATGAGAATGAGGCTGAGCGCCGTGGCTCACGCCTGTAATCCCAGCACTTTGGGAGGCCAAGGCAGGTGAATCACCTGAGGTCAGGAGTTTGAGACCAGGCTGGCCAACATGATGAAACCCTGTCTCTACTAAAAATACAAAAATTAGCCCAGCATGATGGCTCATGCCTATAATCCCAGTGCTTTGGGAGGCCAAGGTGGTTGGATCACCTGAGGTCAGGAGTTTTGAGACCAGCCTGGCCAACATGGTAAAACCACGTCTCTACCAAAAACACAAAAATTAGCCGGGTGTGGTGGTGGGCGCATGTAATCCCAGCTACCCAGGAGGCTGAGACAGGAGAATCACTTGAACCCAGGAGGTGGAGTTTGCAGTGAATCAAGATCGCGCCATTGCAGTCCAGTCTGGGTGACAGAGAGAGACTCCGTCTCAAAAAAAAAAAAATACAAAAATTAGCTGGGTGTGGTGGTGCACACCTGTAATCCCACCTGCTTGGCAGGCTGAGGCACAAGAGTGGCTGGAACCTGGGAGGTGGAGTTGTAGTGAGTCGAGATCGTGCCACTGCACTCCAGCCTGGGCAACAGCGAGACTGTCTCAAAAAAAAAAAAAAAAAAAAAGGTGCCAGAATGAATGATTGGTAATAGGAAGAGAGGAGATCTGAGTGGACTAGACTGGGTGATGCAAGATAGTGTCCTGGTCAGGTGGGCTGTGCAGCTTTCAGAGATGAGTGAGGCTGAGGCAGGAGTCTGGTGAATTGGGGTGTACTGCAGACTGCCCAAAGATATTCACATTTAGAAATATCAAATACTCTGAGGGCCAGGCAACACAACTTGCAGTGTCTGGTGCGTATGTCTGTTGGGCTCTGAAAACTGAATGTCCTCAACTCTGAATTTAGGGTGAGAATTGGATGGCATATGGAGCAAGAGGGCATTGTGGATTGGGAGAATAGTGTAAACAAGGGCCTGCAGGTGGAAATGAGCCCTTCCTGTGGGGAGAGTGATCAAAGAGGCAAGAACTCCTTTTGGTGAGCCAGGAGCGTTAACACTGGCCGGGAATGATGGGGCCAAAAAGTGACGTTCAAAACATGATAAGGCTGGGAGGGTGGAGAAGGAAGACTTCCTATCACCTCCTCTTTTTCCTCATTCTCACAGCTGGCCGAGAGTGACTTTGCCTCCACCTTCCGGCTACTCACAGTGTTTGCTTATGGGACATATGCTGACTACTTAGGTAACCAGAGGGGTTGGTGCTCTGGAGTAATGGAAATAAAAGGGCAATTTCTGGAGGGACTCGGAAGAACTTCCTGGGATATCCCCCTTAGATCCCACCTCCAGATGCAGAGGATCAGGGTCAAAACCTGAATTGGCATGGAAAGTGGGAGGGGAGGGAGCAAGGGAAGGAGGCTAGGGCTTCCCACAAAACTGCAATCAGGATTCCTTATACTTTGTCATTTTTCCCTAGCTGAAGCCCGGAATCTTCCCCCGCTAACAGAGGCACAGAAGAATAAGCTTCGACACCTATCAGTTGTCACCCTGGCTGCTAAAGTAAAGGTGAGTGGCAGTCCCCCAGTCTAGAGCATCCTTTTGTATATCCCTGGAGTCTGCACTAGGACAGCTCTTGTGTGGACTGTGGCTATTTCCTGCCCTCCTCTCCTCCAAGGTCTGTATATCAACTCCATTAGCAACTGTTTAGGCTGAATAGCGTCCTTAGTTTTCTGTCTTTTTCTTTTTCAATCAACTTAAGTTCTAAATAAACATCTTTTGCATTTTTGGTCAGAATGGCAACTAGCATGTTGTTCAGATGTTGTTCAGCAAAACCATCCTCCCCACTTCATTAAGCCCTGTGCGGACACAGCCTCCAGGCTGGAAGCTGGGCTCTCTCCTGATGACGTGCTAGGCTTGTCTTTGTTAGAATAGGAAACACATACCCCAGAAGTATCTCTCTATTTCCATTAGGCTGGTTTTTGTCTAGTATCACCACCCACCTCCCCCGCCTGCCCAGTCTGCGGCCTCGCAATTGTGACTTGACTCTCAGGATTTAATTTAAACCAGGCTCTCTATTGAGAGACACCTCCTCCAAAGGAATGCCTGTGGCAAGCAGGCAGAGTATAAATGATAAACAGTAACTCCAGACCTCTCTCACTACTGCTTCCTCCCCTATGTCCAGCTGATCTTGACTAAGGACTGGGTGACACCCTGAGCTTTGGCCAAAGGAGTGACACCCAGGCAGGTGTCATTTTTCTCCCTCTGTGGTGTGGGAGGGGTAAGGGTGGTACGGGAGCATTTTGTATTTTATTTAAGAATATCCTTCTAATGATGCTGTTTTTGAAGTGGGAATACTTTTATTTATTTTGCTTTAGAACCAGCCGCTTAGAGGAAGTGATTTAGGAATGGGAGTGGAGGGCAGGTGGGCTGGGGGAGGGGGAAAAGGAGGGAAGATTCTTGGAAGCCCTTTTCTACTGCGGAGCCTCACAAATCCTGGCCTGATCTCCGCGGCCCCAGTGTATCCCATATGCAGTGTTGCTGGAGGCTCTTGCCCTGCGTAATGTGCGGCAGCTGGAAGATCTTGTGATTGAGGCTGTGTATGCTGATGTGCTTCGTGGCTCCCTGGACCAGCGCAACCAGCGGCTGGAGGTTGACTACAGCATTGGGCGGGACATCCAGCGCCAGGACCTCAGTGCCATTGCCCGAACCCTGCAGGAGTGGTGAGAACCGTATCCTGGTGCTGTCCCCTTCCTTCTCACTCTGAGAAAGAGAAAGGTGCTTCAGGGTGAGAGAGGGCAGGAGCTGGGCTGGTCTGCAGAGGTGGAACTCAGGGGGATGAAGGGAAATGAGTTCATCCCTCCAAAGGCTTCTGGGGAATGCAGGAGTAGGGAGGCACTGGGAGGTGGCAGAAGTCAGTGTCCTTGATATAGTAATTCAGGGATGAAAAGGGAGTGGTACACTTGAGGGGATCCTAACCACTAAGGTTGTCACCTTGGGCTAGATTCCAGCAGTCGGTCTATACCATTGTCCACAGGCCATGCGCCTTTTCCTCTTCTCTTTTATTTTGTGTCTCTGTCTAACTTCAGGGTTTCTGTGTTCATTACCTACCCTATTTTGTTTTCAGTTCCTACCACCATCTTGCACATCACTCCAGGCACTTCCTTATCCCTCCCCGACCATACTGAGTTTCCATCTCACTGCTAGGAGCGTTGTCACAGATGGTTTCTAGGTGCCCTGGAGAGGGTTCCCAGCTCAGACTCAAAATGCCAGAAGCTGTGTTCTGGCTCCGTTGCCCAGGTTGGAGTGCAGCAGCACAACCTTGACTCACTGCAGCCTCCACCTCCTGGATGCAAATCATCCTTCCACCTCAGCCTCTTGAGTAGCGTGGGACTACAGGCTCGTGCCATTGCATCTGGCTAGTTTTTGTATTTTTTTGTAGAGACGGAGTTTTGCCATATTGCTCAGGCTGGTCTTGAACTCCTGAGTTTAAGCAGTCTGCCTGTCTCGGCCTCCCAAAATGTTGGGATTATGGGGGTGAGCCACTGCACCCTGCGTCTAGGGTTCCTTTTGAGTCTGTTTTCTGTGAGTCTGTGATCGCAGGTCTTGTCTGCTGACACTTTTCTTCTCCCCTGACTCCCGCAGGTGTGTGGGCTGTGAGGTTGTGCTGTCAGGCATTGAGGAGCAGGTGAGCCGTGCCAACCAGCACAAGGAGCAGCAGCTGGGCCTGAAGCAGCAGATTGAGAGTGAGGTGAGCAGTCGGAGAGCAGGCGGACCCAGGCTCCTCCAGCCTGGGCCACTTCTCCTTTGCAGTGGGGATTTGGACAGTGGTTGTAGCAGACAACAAAATGAGCAGGGTCTGGAAGTTTCTGGAACCTTCCTTGCCATCCCCATTCCTTTCATTCTGGTAGGTTGCCAACCTTAAAAAAACCATTAAAGTTACGACGGCAGCAGCAGCCGCAGCCACATCTCAGGACCCTGAGCAACACCTGACTGAGCTGAGGGAACCAGCTCCTGGTACCAACCAGCGCCAGCCCAGCAAGAAAGCCTCAAAGGGCAAGGGGTGAGCCAGGGTAGCAGGAACTGCTCACTTCTGGGGTGCCCTGCTTTTACCCCAGGGACCTGACCGTCCTCACTTCCTTCAGTTATTTGCATGGGAGTAGGGAGTCTGGGGAGCCTTCAGAGGGGATTCCCTGCATTCTCTCTCTCTCTCTTTCTCTTCTTGCCAGGCTCCGAGGGAGCGCCAAGATTTGGTCCAAGTCGAATTGAAGGGACTGTCGTTTCCTCCCTGGGGATGTGGGGTCCCAGCTGCCTGCCTGCCTCTTAGGAGTCCTCAGAGAGCCTTCCTGTGCCCCTGGCCAGCTGATAATCCTAGGTTCATGACCCTTCACCTCCCCAACCCCAAACATAGATCATACCTTCTTCTAGGGAGGAGGCAAGTGCAGGTCATATTTTTGTTGGTACTTTTTGTTTTTGTGACTTTGTGTGTTCCGTTGCTCCCTGCTGCCATGCTCTCTCCCCTATTTCTCCGATATTTCCTTAAGAGCTCACTATCTGTCCCTGTTCATTACATGTCACTGAGTAGGTGGGTAGCCCTGATGGGGTTTGCTCTGTCTCAAGCATAACCTGCAGGTGTTTTTTTCTACCACCCCATCCCTGCATGCCTGATCCCGAATTCCTGCACCTTACCCCCCACCCACGCATTGAGCAGCCTCTGAAGAGCCATGGGGCCCCCACCTTTACTCACACTCTGAGAATTCTGGGGCCCAGTGTGGCATTCCCGGAGTCACTGGACACGTTCATCCTAAAATCCTGTCACACTACAGTCATTTCTTTTCCTCTCTCTGCCCTTTGGGTCCTGGGAATGCTGCTGCTTCAACCCCAGAGCCTAAGAATGGCAGCTGTTTCTTAACATGTTGAGAGATGGTTCCTTCTTGGCCCTGGCCATCTCGGGAAGCTTGACGGCAGTCCTGGAAGGGTTTAATCTCCTTTTGTGAGTTTGGTGGGGAAGGGAAGGGTATATAGATTGTATTTAAAAAAAAAAAAAAAAAAAAAAAGGTATATATGCATATATCTATATATAACATGACACAGAAATAAATCTATGAAAAGTCTATCTACAAACTCCCCGGAACTGGGTATCTTCTGTCTTTGATATTTGCGGATGGGAAGAAGACTCGTTCCCAGGTTACTCTGAAGCACAGTGCTGGAAGATGAAGAGAACCAGGTACTATTTGCTGAGTCTCTGGCTGAGGCCTGGATCCTGGGCTATATGCCTTTGGACAGGTTGCTTCATATCTCAGCATCCATTCAGAAGTAATGACTATGGCCAGGCACGGTGGCTCACGCCTGTAATCCCAGCACTTTTGGAGGCCAAGGTGGGTGGATCACTTGAGGTCAGGAGTTTGAGATCAGCCTGGCCAACATGGTGAAACCCCATCTCTGCTAAAAATACAAAAAAATTTGCTGGGCGTAGTAGCGTATACCTGTAATCCCAGCTATTAGGGAGGCTGAGGTAGGAGAATCACTTGAACCTGGGAGGTGGAGGTTGCAGTGAGCCGAGATCATGCACTCCAGCCTGAGTGACTGAGTGAGACTCCATCTCAAAAAAAAAAAAAAAAAAAAAACAGTAGTAATGGATACTTACTGGGCATCAATACCCGACAGGCACTGGACATGCAAATGATGGCCACTATTTCTGCTCTCTAGGAGTTTGAGCCTATATCCTTCTACTTCATAGAATTAGAAGGGAGAGTTGATAATGAACTTGAATTTTCACATCAGAACCACACAGAACTGTCAGATCTGTGGCAAGCAGAAGCCATTGGACTCCCGCCCTCTGTCCACTAGAGTTCTCCAGGAAGTGTGCTGGGAGGATTGGGATCCTTGGCCTAGAGTGTTGCTATGGACTCCCTGGAATTGGAAAGCCCTGGTGTGAGGGACAGTTGAGCCTTCATTTGCATGTGAAGTGGTTGCCTTCTGAGGGTCCTGGGGTTGACAGCTGCTCCCCAGAGCTTGTGATGTTCTTTAGGTAGAGGTTTACGACAGACCACTCTTCACTGGCCCTAAAGCTGTCAGTCATGGAATTAAAAAGTGGGAATGGGGGCTGGGCGAGTTGGCTTGTGCTTGTAATCCCAGCACTTTGGGAGGCTGAGGTGGGTGGATCACAAGGTCAGGAGATCTAGACTATCCTGGATTAATGGTGAAACTCCATCTCTACTAAAAATACAAAAATTAGCTGGGTGTGGCGGCACGTGCCTGTAATCCGAGCCACTCAGGAGACTGAGGCACAAGAATTACCTGAACCCAGGAGGCAGAGGTTTCAGTGAGCTGAGATTGCACCACGGCGCTCCAGCCTGGTGAAAGAGTAAGACTTGTCTTG